CAATAAACAATAATGGAATAGGACACCCCTATTTTCATTGGGGAAATGTTGGAGGGTATGGGGCTGTAGACCTATGCACATCCCTTACCTGGGAGGAGAGTGTCCAGATCCAATGGGGCTTCTGCACCTTTAACAGCTGAGTCATAGAAGCCTCACCTGCCGAAATTCCCCGCTTTCTTAAGGCGCCTCTTCCGCCCCTGGGCCACCCTGCCTGGAAGAAAGCAAACCCCCAGACTTAAGAGTGAAAGTTGCTTAGGAGTAAACATGAATCGGATCGGGCCTATTGGGGTTCTATAGAAATAGACGCCTATAGATGGGATGCCTCGCCGCCCCCCTCCGCTTGATCCCCACTTGGCGAGCCCCCTGCCAGGCTGGCGGGGCAGCGAAGAGGATCCATCATCTCGTCGCCTCGAGGCGGAGCTTAAATATCCCGAGATGGGAGTTCAGCTTATGAAAATTTCACATCCCTCCAGCCTCTCGTGTGTTCCTTCTTTCCGTTAGCTCAGCCTTGACCGGCTCGCAAATAGAATCAATTAAGGCAACGGCGTCTGGTTTCCCTCCGAGCGCCTAGGGCGCGCGCGCGCTTGCTTCCGACGGCGGGGGTGGGTGGGAAGGAGAGAAAAGAAAAAGAGAGAGAAAAATAAAGGAAGGAAGAAAGAGAGCCCCGCCAAGTGAAAGGGACGAAGGAGCCTGACTACAATATATTTATTTTTGTGTTGGGGAAGGCCGTCGGGGTTGTTTCCTAGCCGCCTCCTCGTTTCTTTCACTGACGATGTCCGAGCCAGAGGAAGGAAGTGAGTTTGGCTACATAGTGGATCTGCTGGAAAAAGGCAAGGTAAGGGGACGAAACCGGGAACCCCGATTCCTCTTCTTTCCGACTCGGGAACCTTGCAGTCACTCCCCCTTGCAAAGGCGGGACTGGGCGCGCGCCTTTCTTGCTGCTCCGGCCGGGATCGGGCGCAATGGTTGATTTTCTTCCAGTTTGCAATGTGCGGCGGGAGCGGCAGGACTTGCCGAGTTGCTCCCTCTGTCATTTTTCCCCTTGAGGCTGGGAATACAACCCGAGAGGAGGGAGGGCAGTCTGTCTGGGTGCAAAAGAACTTGTTCCTCGTTGTCGCTTTTGTCTTCTTTTTTTTTGCCGGGCTGCAAGCGGGCGATTTGCATTTGCAAGGGGGCTGGCAGTGGGCGGCGGAACCGGGCGGGCGTGGCAGGCGAAACGGGAGCGCCGGTCCCGTGCAAAGCGAGGGGATCAAGCGAGGCCGCGCTGCTCCCTGGGGCAACAGGTTGGGCGCTGCCAAGGAATCGATAAGCCGCCAGACTGCAGCCAAGCCCCGGCTCGTCTCCCTGCTGCGCCCCGCTCGGCCCAGCCGGGGACTAGACGCGCGGTGGCGCCTTGAAAGCCAAGGGAAAGGATCCGGCCAGTCGAGTTCCTTTATAGATATGGATATATTTGCATGAAATAACCTGGCGGATATATGCACCAGGAGCAACTTCCAAAGTTTGTGTGTGTTTAGCTTTGCTAATCTGTTGGAGCGGAGGTCTTGTGGCACTTGCTGAAGCCTTTTCGCTCACGGAGTTTATTCCATAAGAAAAGGTGTTCTGTCTTTAAGGCAGCCTTCCCCGACGTGGCGCCCTCTAGAGGCATTTACACATTTGTCGACTTGCCACCCTGTTTTCCATTGTCTTTTTTAAAATATTTACCCCCTTTTCTGCACCCTTTCTTCTATCTCTTATACCATAACAATACTATAATCTCGAATCCCATCTGTTGCTTATAGTTCAAATCCTGCTCCCGAGTTCATCATATTAGAGTACAGTGGTACTTCGGGTTACATACACTTCAGGTTACATATACTTCAGGTTACAGACTCCGCTAACCAAGAAATAGTGCTTCAGGTTAAGAACTTTGCCTCAGGATGAGAGCAGAAATCGTGCTCCCGTGGCGCACCAGCAGCAGGAGGCCCCATTAGCTAAAGTGGTGCTTCAGGTTAAGAACGGACCTCGGGGTGGCGCTGTGGGTTAAACCAAAGAGCCTAGGACTTGCCGATCAGAAGGTCAGCGGTTCGAATCCCCGTGACGGGGTGAGCTCCCGTTGCTCGGTCTCTGCTCCTGCCAACCTAGCAGTTTGAAAGCACGTCAAAGTGCAAGTAGATAAATAGGTACCGCTCCGGCGGGAAGGTAAATGGCATTTCCGTGTGGCTTAGTCATGCTGGCCACATGACCCGGAAGCCCGTACGTCGGCTCCCTTGGCCAATAAAGTGAGATGAGCACCGCAACCCCAGAGTCGGTCACGACTGGACCTAATGGTCAGGGGTCCCTTTACCTTTACCACTGTATTTAAGTAGTCCGGGGGGAAAGGCTTCCATTCTTCTGCCAAACAACCATCGTTAGGGTCTCTTATTTTGGCTGTTAACTTTGCCAATTCTGAATAGTCCATAGGCTCTAATTCTCAACATGCTTGGCCCTTTGGCCATGCCAACAAGTTGATGGGATTTGTAGTGCAAAGTACCGTATTTTTCGCTCTATAAGACGCACCAGACCACAAGACACACCTAGTTTTTGGAGGAGGAAAATAAGAAAAAATATTCTGAATCCCAGAAGCCAGAACAGCAAGAGGGATCACTGCGCAGCGAAAGCAGTGATCCCTCTTGCTGTTCCTGGCTTCTGGGATAGCTGTGCAGCCTGCATTCGCTCCATAAGATGCACACGCATTTCCCCTTACGTTTTAGGAGAGAAAAGGTGAGTCTTATAGAGCAAAAAATACGGTATATGGTGGGCACTGGTTGAGGAAGGCTGCTTTAAAGTGTACCAGACTCTCTTATATCCAGAGCCAGCACAAGACGTTTTGCTGTAGGCAAAATGCCCAATGCTGCCCCTGCCCCCACGATGCCCCCCATGCAGACATGAGCCCCCTCTCCCCACTGTAGCAGCTGCACTGCCACCAGCCTGGTTGCTACAACTTGTACCTTCACCTTTGAATACAGTGATGAGAGTGAAGCCCTGGTGGGACTGGCAGTGGTGTGATGGCAAGGGTTGGATCCGCCGCCTGAGGCGGAAGGCTTCAACTCACCTCATGCATGGGTCAGATTTGGAGGTGGAGACAACCTGAAAAGCGGATAAGAACATATCTTCATAATAAGATCTTCATTGGCTCCCAGTACGTTTCTGAGCACAATTCAAAGTGTTGGTGCTGACCTTTAAAGCCCTAAACGGCCTGGTCCTGTATACCTGAAGGAGCGTCTCCACCCCCATCATTCAGCCCGGACACTGAGGTACAGCGCCGAGAACCTGGCGGTTCCCTCGCTGCGAGAAGTGAGGTTACAGGGAACCAGGCAGAGGGCCTTCTCGGTAGTGGCGCCTGCCCTGTGGAACGCCCTCCCAGCAGATGTCAAGGAAATAAACAGCTATCTGACTTTTAGAAGACATCTGAAGGCAGCCCAGTTTAGGGAAGTTTTTAATGTTTCATGTTTTTCATATCCTGTTGGGAGCCGCCCAGAGTGGTTGGGGAAACCCAGCCAGATGGGTGGGGTATAAATAATAAATTATTATTATTATTAATATAATTGAACAATTCAGTTGTTGCCAACTCACAGGGTTAGTATGAACCCCGCACCCCTGAGAATAAGTCACTTAGTTTATGCTGCAGAGGTATAGACTGGGGTTCAGAGAAAAGCAGACCACTTGGATCTATTTGAGAGAGAAATCTGGGTGCCAGGTCTGCTCTCTTGTACTGGGAAGGCTTTGGCCAGAGAAAAGTGTCAAGGAAGGTGGTTGCTGTCTCTAGAGTCTTGGTTTCTAGTACAATGGTACCTTGGTAGTCAAACAGCTTGGCTCTTGCACAAATTGGCTCCCAATTGCCACAAACCTGGAAGTGCGTGTTCTGGTTTGTGAACGTTTTTCATGGGTGACGCGGCTTCCGATTGAGTCAGGAAGTTCCTGCAGCCAATCGGAAGCTGTGCCTTGGTTTTCGAATTGTTTTGGGAGTCCCAGAACGGATTAAATTCAAGAACCAAGGTACCACTGTATTTTCTCCAGCACCCCAGAATTATCTCATCTGAGGGGGTGGTGGAGGAAACAGCAGCGATTACTGGATAGTTTTGGGGTGGGACTGGCCTACCTTTCAATATGGTTGTTGTGTGAGGGAGGTTGCAAACAGCTTCTCCTAGCCTCTCGCTTCCATTACTGGGGCTATTGGGGTGTTAGCTACTGTACGGCTTCTTCACCTTCCCTGCTAGTCAGAGCCTGTTCTGTGCTTTTCATGCATTCAAGGGGAACTTCTCTGTTTGGAGGGACTGGACTGTTAAAAGTGACAAATCCGCATGAGGCAGACTTGCGCTACTAGGCAAAGGAAGATCCCATTACAGTGGTACCTCGGGTTACATACGCTTCAGGTTACAGACTCCGCTAACCCAGAAATAGTACCTTGGGTTAAGAACTTTGCTTCAGGATGAGAACAGAAATTGCACGGTGGCGGCGCGATGGCAGCAGGAGGCCCCATTAGCTAAAGTGGTACCTCAGGTTAAGAACAGTTTCAGGTTAAGAACGGACCTCTAGAACGAATTAAGTTCTTAACCTGAGGTACCACTGTAGCTGCTTTCTCCTGGACCCATACTTACCATAATTCCTCTGTTCTAAAGTGTTGACTGTGACTGCTGGATTAAATTAGAATTAAGCAGGAATAGATGTAGTTTATGTTGAGAATAAGTTGATTTGAACATGTCTGGGGTGGAGGTTGACAGAGAATATTCCTTAGCCCGAAGCAAACATTATTTAAATAAATCTTAGCTGGCTGAATTCTGATTAGGTTAGGAAGAGAAATTGGAACCCTTCTGCTCAATAATTTGATTACTGCAAACTCAAGACCCACGCTAGCTAAGAGCTTTTGGCAAAGGGGCAAAGCTTCTAAGCAAGGAGGAGTCTATATTTGATCACATAATTAGAGTTGGAAGGAACTCTGAGGGTCATCTAGTCCACCCCCCTGCAATGCAGGCATATGCCACTGTTCCTCACGGGGATCGAACCTGCAACCTTGGCATTATCAGCACTATGCTAACCAATTGAGCTATCCAGCTGTTCTGTGTGTGCCCCCTTTCGAATCTGACTGGCTGTGTTTACTTCAAGACACTCTTAAGACAGCACAGATTGCAGGGCTTGGAAATGCTCCCTCTCAATAATTTGCATGTTCCTTACAAACCACGGAGATAAGCACCTGACAAATGCATCCTTCCAACCAAGTATATCTTGCAGGTATAGGCACCAGCGGGGTGGGATTAGCCATGGCTCCTTGTTACAGGTGCATGCAGTGGCAAATGTGTATTTTGTATTGCAGGTAAGGTAAAAGGTAAAGGTAAAGGACCCCTGGATGGTTAAGTCCAGTCAAAGGCAAGCCAAAAACCAAAAACAAGTCAAAGTACAGTGGTACCTTGGTTTGCATACGTCTTGGTTTGCATATGTTTTGGATTACAAACACATCAAACCTGGAAGTGCGTGTCCCGGTTTGCAACCTTTTTTTTTATTACAACCCCCCTTTTTTTTTTGAATTACGAACAATGTTTTTTTGGAGGCCCCATTGGCGAAAGCGCGCCTTGGGTTACAACCTGTTTTGGTTTACAAACGGACCTCCGGAACGGATTATGGTTGTAAATCAAGGTACCACTGTATTGCATAACACAGGGGTTGCCACCCTTTTAGGGCACATTTGTATAAAGCTACGCGGGTGGCGCTGTGGGTTAAACCACAGAGCCTAGGACTTGCCGATCAGAAGGTTGGCGGTTCGAATCCCCGTGATGGGGTGAGCTCCCATTGCTCGGTCCCTGCTCCTGCCAACCTAGCAGTTCGAAAGCACGTCAAAGTGCAAGTAGATAAATAGGGACCGCTCCGGCGGGAAGGTAAACAGTGTTTCCGTGCGCTGCTCTGGTTCGCCAGAAGCGGCTTAGTCATGCTGGCCACGACCCGGAAGCTGTACGCCAGCTCCCTCGGCCAATAAAGCGAGATGAGTGCCGCAACCCCAGAGTCGGCCACGACTGGACCTAACAGTCAGGGGTCCCTTTACCTTTACTAGTGAGGAACTCAAACGATATCATTGTTCTTCCTGTGTGTGGCAGTTATTCTGTCCGTGATATTTCTTCCTGTCGTTGTAAAATGTTATGTCTGTCTTTTCCTGCTTGTTGCTGTTCTCCAACATGCCTTGGGCAAAGCTAATAATCCCATTGTTGTTTCAGAAATTTCTCAGTTGCTCCGACATTTGTAAACCAGAGGGGTTGTCATGGGCACAGCAAGCATGAGACAGCTCTTTCGCATCCCAACTGTAACACCTACCCACCCCAAATTACCTTCTGTGCTGCAATGAGGCTTGAAGAAAAGTCTTCTGTATGCTACGGAAGGCTTCTTTCAAGTGTAATTTCAGCAGGAGGGCAGGATGTGACCCTCTGGGTGCTTGGAAGGGACACATACATGCTCACAAGCAGCATGTTGATGACCCATAGCACAATTTGTGAAGCGCCCTTGAGACAATACCATTTATTGAGCAAGATTACGTTTACAACGTTTCTGTTGATAAAGATGACTCTCCTCAAAAACCTATCAGTCCTAACGCTTCCCTGAACACAGCTTGATTTCCACAGAATATGAGGTAAAAAGGGTGTGTTGGACACAGCAGAAACGCTGTTGATTTAAAACTTTTCTGGCTGGCTAAATTTTCTGCTATTTTCATGCCTACAAATTCGTCTTAGCCTGCGGAGGAGTTGTGTATAAGTTTTGTTAGCGCTTACCACTCCCAATGGAAGTTAATTATGGCTATCATGAGGATTAGTGTATGCATAAGCAATAGTCCCATGTTGCTAAGTGACACTCCTAAAAATAATTTCTCATTCTGTGGCAACTGATAGGGAATATGCTAGGGAAAAGTTGTCATCTTTCAGGAAATGATTTAGGGCTTGTAAATGGAGCTCAGGGGGGAAACTGAGGGTGTCTGCATCTTCTTCACACTCTGAAAACCAAACTCCTCCTAGTGTGATATCACTTGTTATAGTAACTTGGGTTTTCTCTCTTCGCTGCTTCACAAAGTGTGCAACCAGCAGCCTATAAAACCTGGGGGAACTGAAGTTGCTTTCAATACTTAGCTGCTGCATCACTGCCCCTGACTCTGTTCTTGCTCCTATTGCTTGGCCAGCGAAGGGGCTCAACCTGTGGCCTATTATCCCTATTAACTCATTTTCAACCCTGACCATTGGCTATACAGTGGTACCTCGGGTTAAGAATTCAATTCGTTCCGGAGGTCCGTTCTTAACCTGAGGTACCACTTTAGCTAATGGGGCCTCCTGCTGCCGCCACGTCGCTGGAGCACAATTTCTGTTCTCATCCCGAGGTACTATTTCTGTTCTTAACAATTTCTGTTCTTATGACTGGCAGAATCCGAGACCAGGGAGAAGAGTCGGTGAAAGAAGACTGGAAGAAATTTAAAGACTATTTACAGAAATATTGTAAAATTAAGGAATCTTAGAAGGATGTTGGATAGAAACTAAGAGCTTTTTAGCTGTAATGCTTTAAGAGATATTATAAAAGGCTTACAATTGGGCAATAGTTTAATGGTAAGGATTTGCTGAAAAAACAAACTGAACTGGAATACAAAAAGGGAGGTATGAGGAGGTCCGGGAAATAAGTCTAGAGAAGATAGGTTTGGAAAATTAATGTCTTTTTAACTGTTTTATTTTGTATGTTTCTTTTTATCCTTTACTTTTTGTTATTTTTTAAAAAATTACTCTTTTTTCTGTATTTTGTATTTCTTCTATTTTTTGTAACTTTAATAAATATCATTTAAAAAAAAAAAACAATTTCTGTTCTTAACCTGAGGTACTATTTCTGGGTTAGTGGAGTCTGTAACCTGAAGCGTCTGTAACCTGAAGCTTCTGTAATCTGAGGTACCAGTGTGCTGGTGGGGCAGATGGAACATCTCCAGGGCCCACCCCTGAACCAAACATTTCTTGTTGAGGCTCAACCACCTCCATTGGGGCTCTCCATCGTTCCCAAAGGGTGTGTTTGTCCTTTGAGGGCATTCTGTGCCCTCTTTTACACTAGTTCTGCTGACTCTAGTGAAGCGTAGGTGTTCTAGCGATTGGACTAGCCTTGGTGCAGTGGCGTGTGGTCAGTGGACTAAGGGGGCTAGACTAGTCCCCTAAATGTTCCTGGTAAATTAAAGAATTAAAGCTTGGTGCCTCCTTCCCAAAGCCTGGGAAACTTGTGCCCAGCTTAGGGAGGGGGGCGTGATGCTTATGCACATAGAATAAGGACATTGTGAGGTCAGCTGCCCCCCCCATCGCCCCATAAGCTGGTTCCTCTGGCCCTAACTGTCACCCTATGCCACTGCTGGTGAGAATGTGAAAAATGGCAGCACTGCATCCCTGTCTAGAAAGCGGTTGAAGCCCTTCCCCCTGCCCAGTTTAATGAACAAAGTCCATTGGTAATTGTTTGGCAATTGCTCCTTTAGTAATTAAATTTTTAAAAATGAAATTTGGTGTCTGTGTGGGAGTCCTTTGAACATCCTCTTAAATTGCCAAATTAAACATGCCTCAGCTGCACAAATTCATGTAAAAGAGGCAGCAAGGCAGTAGGAGAGACTGTCTGTAACTAAATGGGAACGAAGCTCTCAAGTAAAATAACCAAAGTGATTTCATTTCAAGGTAGCATAATGATATTGCTAACATTAATTTCTTTGATATTTGTGTGCGCTGTTACAATCTGGCTCTATATATCTTGTCGTCTCTGTGTGCCGCTCTGAATTGTCTGTCCATTGTCTAAAAGTCTAGGCTTTCGGATCAAGGGATTGTAGTAGATGGTGGTACTCTGTAGAGCAGGGTCCCCAAACTTGGATCTTCAGCTGTTTTTGGACTGCAAGCCCATTGTCCCAGACCACTGGTCCTGCTAGCTAGGGATGATGGGAGTTGGAGTCCAAAAACAACTGGATACCCAAGTTTGGGGAACCCTGCTGTAGAGAAACTAAGACCCAAAATAAAAGACAAGCAAGGTCTTGCTTCATGTTGGAGAGAACATGTCTCTGATTGGCAGCTGCTTTGAAGCCTTAGTTTTTTGATGTTAGTCTTCAGTGTGAATTGTGGCTAAGAGGGCTAAGGGAGAAACCACTTCCTCAGCTTATTCATAAAGTATACTTGCAGGGAAAAAAAGTTTGCTTGTCTGGAATGTTGTTTAAAATTAATGCTGCTCTTTGTGTTGCAGCAGGAGTTTAAAATGCACACCATATGATATGCACTGTCTTGTGGAATGACAGCTCATATTCCGGTGCACTTCAGGATAGAGTGCTTAACTTTGCAGCATAGAGAGCAAAAGAAAAGTTTTGCATAATGTTACCAGCAAAAATGCAGCATATTTCATTTATTATTATTATTATTATTATTATTATTATTATTATTTGGTAACTAAGATTTTACACCCACAAGAAAATTCGGTCCACTTCTGCAGGAGAGAGAAGCTGCTTCCAAGTTTTCCATATCAAGATTGGGCATGGGTTTATGGGGTTATGATTCCGGAAGTAAAACTCTTGACAAAATATTTTATTTAGGGCATGTGTTAAGCACAAGCCTAACTCTATCCAGTAGGAACCAGAAACAACAGTAGCAGAGAAGCTGAAAAAAAGTTGTTTCAAATACAGGAAGCTTGGTTAAGGCTTCTGGGCTATAACAGCTTCCCCAGTATTATGCAATCAATTTAAATATTTTTAGCGGACGTATTGTGAAATGTTGATTCCAAGTTATTTTAGCAACTTCATATTAGAGAAATAGGATGTATTCTAAAATACTTGTGTACTTAATTTGTGAGGTTCTTGAACAAACAAGGGTAATAAACAAAAGAGCATAGTAAACTGGCTGCAAATAGAAATGATGTTTACTCCCAATTCTCTGATGACATTTAGATTAATATTTCAAAATCCAGCTGAATATATGAATGCAGAATCTCTTCCTGAGTGAAAGTCAGAGACGCAAGATAGAGATTTCCCCCCTTCAGACTCATGTCAAAATGGAAAGTTTATTTATCAAAGGCATTTTAAACAATTTC